TGGTGATGGGGGAGGGCAGAGAGCAGTGGGTCGGGGCCTCTTGAGCCCAGACCCAAGGGGCCGCCCTCCGGGGAGGCATCTCTTGTTCGAGGGTGTTGTCTAGCAAGCCAGCAATGCTCAGGTGCAGGGGGAAGGAGGCGTGAGCTGGTCCTCGCAGCCCCTACCCTGCTCCGCTGACCTGTCCCTCTGTCCTTCTCCGTAGGCTGCCTCTGCACAGTCGGCGTCCTGACGTACGGACTGATCAGCTTCAAGAGAGGCAACACCCGTCAGTCTCAGCTGATGATGCGGGCACGTATTCTGGCCCAGGGCTTCACCTTCGCGGCCCTCCTGGGAGGCATGGTGGTCACAGCCATGAAATCTAGAAAGTGAAATCAGGCAAGAGAGCAGCTGCGGGTGCGCGCCCGCCAGCCTGTGCCCCAGCTGTCAAGGTGGATTCTGGCTGCGGATGGAGTTTTCCGAGAGACGGTTGTGATGTCTAGGTGGAGGTGGTGTCAGAGAGGCTCCGTGTTCCAGAGCACTGGCAATGTGGCTAATACACCTCTGTGATTAATCTGAAATTTGGGCTGTGGCATTTTTTTGATTCCTTGAGAGCTTATCCTCCTGCAACACTGGAGGCTGCGCCTTGCTAAGCCTCTCCACCCCTGTCAGACCTCTTGTCCCTGCTTGGTGCTGTCACAGTCTGTTAAAATTGTGTCTTGTGGGTCTGAGGTGTGGCTTTAGTCAGGTGGTGCAGCAGCATTTGAGAAATGAGCTGCCCGGTAGGAGGGAACAGCTGTTTATGGCTTGATCCTGGCAGGACAGAGTTCATAAGCCGTGGGCGAGTTGTTTGGGGAGAATGTGTAATCTGGTTGCAAATGGTGAGTAATAAAGTGAATTGCAGTGAGATTCTGACTGATACTAGATTGCAGAGAATTGAGAAGCCAGAAGAGTAAACAGTGTAGGGGAGCAGGCATGGCTGCCTTGAAGCTGTGGTGATGCAAGCAGGACACAAGAGATGTAATTCCCTGTGAAAACAACTTGGGAACTTGCATTTCCAAAATGGGGCCTGGCCACATTCTCTGGGACACACTGCTGCTTCAGTTGCTTTTGCCGGGCAGTCGGTTCCTGCGCAGCGTGTTGCTTCGCGTGAGCTGGAACTGGCTGCTGAGCAAATGCCCTGTTCCAGAGGGAGCTGCACTGCCTGTGTCGTGACAAACATCATCATGGGCGGCTCCAAGTCCTGCTGTTGGCATTGGATCATTTGGATCATACCGGCGTGTTTGAGCAACGAGGCTTTGCTCTCCTGTGTCAGGGCTGCAGAGAGGAGGAAGTGGGGCTGTCGGATCTGTTTGCTGTGTGGCTGCGGCAGCTTGTACCTGCCCGTAGGCAGAGCGTACCTCTGCAGGGGAAAGGGGCACAGACCCTGCTAACCGTGCTGCGATGACGCCTCACGTTGAGCAGCCTGGGGCGTTTCCAGGCTTTGCTCTCTGGGTGTCTGCGTGTTGGTGCCTGCGCCCCGGCCTTCCCTGGCCTGCGGCCGGCTGCCTGGCAGCTTGCTGATCCCGCTTTGCCCTTACAAGGGCAGGGTGAGGGGTAAGCTCACTCCACCTGTAAACAAGTGCTTGGTTTGTCCGGTCTGGGGAACCATGGTGCTGGTGGGCCTCAACAAGGAGAGGGGGAAGGCTATCGCCCATCAGAGCTGACTTTTGCAATGCAAGGGTGGGGGACAAGCCATTGCCGGTGCTGAGCAGGGTGAGCTCTGCAGCCAGGAGCCGGGGGCTCTGCCCGCTGCAGTGCTGCCTGCCTTCCCTGGCTGCCTGCTCAGCACGTCTTTCCCAGAAGAAACCGCTTTTGGCTGGCACTTCCAGCCCGGCCAGCATGGGGCAGGGGTGTGAGAGGCAGCTGGTGGGCAGACCTGCGAGCGCAATCCCTTGGCAGCCCTGGCAGCCTGGAGACAGGCACAGCGGACTGGGGAGCAGCTCAGGCCCTCCGGACAAGCAGGAGCCGGCAGCTCCCTGGGGGCAGAGCAGAGCCCCCTGGTCCTGCTGCCACTGCTTCTGCCCCAGCCTCGTGCAAACCCTCTGGCCCTTCCCCTCGCTCCTATCTTTTCCTGTAGGATGTGGTTCTCCTCCAGCCCCGCCCTTTCTGCAGGAGGGTTGTGGCTGTGGGTTCTCCTAAATGCACACATGTGCGTTGCTGAAGCAGAAAGACAACAGTGCCCCGTAGGAGTGGAGATGTCGGTTTATTGTAACAGGTGATTTGAACAGTCACAGATACCAAAGCTGAGGGGATGTAGAACAGCTGTGGGCATGGCTCCCCTGGAGCTGGCTGCCCCTGCCTGACACGGGGTGCACGGCAGCCGGGGGACCCAGGGGCCCGGCTGCCTGTGGGGGCTGGAGGGCCAGAGCACAGGGGGGCTCCCTGTCCCCAGGAAGCAGCCAGAGGCGCTTCCCGCTGCTCTGCAGTGAAAGGCGGAGGCAGGCAGCTGACTCCTGAAATATCCTGCGTCGGTGTCCATCCCGCACTGCAGCAGAGCTGCCTACGCACGCTGGAGCGCGGGGGGACAGCATAGGAGCGATAAGCCCTATGGACAAGGGGGCACAATCCCAGCACACAACACTGAGTGACTCCCTATGCGCCCATTTCCCTTCCCAGCCTGCTGCTGAGCCCATGCCCCAGAGCCAGGGGAGCCCGGTCACCCTACGAGGGCTGCAGCAGCAGGGCAGGTGACCTTCCTGACTTGTGGAGCCATAGCTGCAGGGCAGGAGAGCTCTGCATACTTGGTTTTCTGCTGAGCAAGGCTCTACAGCAAGGCTCAAGCAAATGGTTTGTGGGCTCTGCTCCATGTCCCCCCAGCCCGCTGCTGCAAGCCTTTCCCAAGCCCCCAGCAGGCCAGCCCTGGGGCACAAGCTCCAGGCTGCCCCGCAGCAGGATGCGCGCAGGCCTGCCCCTCTCCTGCTACATGGGAGTTTTGCAGGTTTCCAGGGCTGGGCCTCTGAGCCGGAGGGACTGGTGCCGGCCCCACCAAGCAGAAGGGAGAAAGCCAGTGTTTGGGCTGGAAAGCATGTGCCTTGTGGGGCAGGGACTGGGACTGAGGCATTTTGCCATGCTACCTTAGGTGTGCAAATCCAGCGGGGCCCAGAGAGAAGCCACACAGCAGCTGCAGACAGATGTGCAGCTTGTTCTCCAGGGACAGCACAAGCCCCAGCACCAGAACTCTGCCCAGTCCTGGTCTGCACCCCTGGGTTAGGGAGCTGGGGGCTTGACCTGCCCCACAGCAGCTGGACCTTCCTATCTGCTTCCCTGCCACCACACAGCCTCCATCTCCCATCCTGGTAGCAGAGGAAGAAGCAGAGCAGAGCAGAGCCAAGGGCCCCTGAAGCCTGGCACCCCACATTTCCAACTGCTGGTGGTCTTGGGGGAGGGACATGAAACATCCTGTACGCTTGCCCCGTGGCCCCTTCCCAGTGCCCTGCACCACCATGCTGCCTGGCACCAGCAGCCCCACAGGACGGACAGGACATGGACACTGCAACTGCTGCTCGGAGCCCCGCCAGCTTTTTGGGGTGCACAGCCAGGCTGGGGAGAGGTCTGCTGGGCTTGGGCAACTGCTGGCAGACCCAGCACAGCCTGGGTGCCTGCACTCACATTCCTCAGTCCCTGCTAGCCCAGCAGCATCACGCTGTGGCCGTGCTCCCTGCAGAACCTTGCAGTGTGGAGCTGAGTCAGGGCTGTTCCTCCACCCTCTAAGCCCCGCAGCCGGCTCTGCTCTAAACCCCGCCAGAAAGGCAGATGGGAGCCAGGGGCTCCACTAGGATCGCTGCCCTGGGGCTAGGACCCAGGCCCAGATGCGGGGCTGCCGTGCCTGCACTCGCCCAGCGCCAGGACGGCTGCAGGCAGGTTTATTCCCAGCATAGGGGTGGGGTGGGGAACACGGGGTGCAGTGTTCCCCCTCTCACTGAGCCAGGCCCCTGGGTACAACCTCCCGCAGAGCCCAGGCCAGGGGCTCTCCCACTAACTCAGCTCTGCCACCCAGTGTCGCTTCCCGGGGAAATGCCACAGTAATAAATATGTGTAAAAAGAGACCGATGCACCTTTTAAGCAAAGGAAAACCATGGGGAGAGTTACAACCGGTGACTCGAGCACAGCCAAGGCACACACCAGGGAGCAGGCAGGGTGAGGCCCCTCGTGGGCTGGCCCCACGAAGCCGCACGGCTTGGTGAGCCTGGCCTTGCCCTGCTGCACTCCTGGCCATGCCAGGCGGCAGCTAGCGGGACAGGGGCATCTGTTTGAGAGAGATGAGCACCGAGCGCATCCGCGAGACATCCTTGCTCTGCTTGCTGCTCTTGGGATTGAAATCACAGAGCTGGGCCACCTTCTCCCACTCAGAGCCCGGGGTTTCCTCCTTGGACTCCTTCAGGAATGCTTCCTCCGAGGCCCTGCGGAGACGTTGAGGGTTGTCACTGGCAGAACCCTTTCCAAGGAGACCCCCCCCTCTGTCTGGGAACCCCTCGTGTCCCCGCTTCCTGTCCCCTTGCTCCAGCTGATGAGCTCAGCGTCCTCTGGGATCCAGAGACACATGATGCTCAAGGCTGCTGTTGGCTGCACTCACCCAAGATATCGTTCATCCGGGGGCATGGGGGTGGTCAGCCTGCTCCCAAGACTTCACCGCTCCCAGAGCTGTACCCCAAAAGGCTCAAGACCCCACAGCTTTGCCTCTTCAACCAGCCCCACAGGGGCATTTTCAGGAGCTCCACTTGCCTCCTAAGACTCCACCCTTTGGAGATGCTCAGCTACAGCATCCTCCCTTTGGGACCTCACCAGAGCCCAGTACCTCCCAGCATCCCCCCTTCCCTTGGCTGGGCAGCCAGCGCTGGGGCAGAACCCCCAGACGCTGCAGGGCAGGATACGGTCTGTAAGAGGCACATACACATAGCCAATCACATCGGCGTCCGGCTGCTGGTAAAAGGCTTTGTCAGCGATCCTAGCCCCCGAGGCACAGACAGAGAGAGAGCGCAGAGCAGACAGGCAGGCAGAGGGTTAGAAAGAGAGAAACAGAGGGGGTTAGCGTCCTCCTGCAGGGCGTGGCCCACTCATCACAGCATACACGGCACCAGGAAAACCTGCCAGTGGCGGCAGGACTGCACAGACAGTGCCCCAACCCTGCCCCAATGCGAGGCCCATGCCGGGGTGAGGAGGCACCGAGATCCCGCTGTGATCCCAGTGTGGTCCCAGCCAGGGTGGCTCTGCACAGCCACCGGAGCCGCTCAAAGCCCTGAGCCCTCTCCCTTTGCCTGGCAAAGCTCCATCCCCGCAGGGCTGGGCCCCGCTGTGGGGCCAGAGGTCCCCAGACATCTCAGGAAGGCAGATCTGGCTGCACAGCAGCTCCCGTCGCAGCCCTTGCAGCCACACTGAGCCCACCATACCTGTTGTTTGCCCGGTTCTTCTCCATCTGCTCATTCTGGCGCAGGTTCCACTCCTCCAGGTCCTTCTTTTCCTGCTCAGTCACCTTCGATGCCGCATCTAAAGCCAGGGTGAGACAGACCCCATCAGCCAGACTGGCACCCACTGGGTCTGCTGGGCAGCCCCTTGGCAGGCAGGACAGCTGCAGCCTCCCAGGTCTGTCCCCAGTCCCCACTAGTACTGCCTGAAAGGCATTACTGCCCCAGGGACAGCAGATCCTCGGCAGGGGCACCCACAGGGTGTGGGGCACAAGACACCTCTCTGGGATGCAGCAGGGTCGCTGCCAGGTGAGGCACCCCAAGGGCCCCGACTGCCACGTCGCAAGGTGCCACGAGTGTGGCCACACACGGCCTCAGGTCTCACCCAGCTCCTCCAGGCGCTTCTTCTGCTCCTCCCTCCACTTGCGGATGCTCTCAGGTTCCTGGGTCAGCCGGTCAGCCTTGGCTATGGCTGCATAGGCGTCCGTGGGGCCGTTGGACTCCTGTAGGACACAAGCACCTTGCCATCAGCACCAGCTTCTCCCACAGCCCAGCCCAGCCACCTCGAAGGGCTGGCAGCAGGGCAGGACTCCATGCTCCCAGCACTCAGACAACCCAAGACAGGAGGTAGGGAGGGTGACAGCCAGGGACATCATCCCCAAAGCGCTGCTCAAGCTGCTGTCCCAGCTCCCAGCCCCAGGCCCTGCCACCCAGAAAGACTTCCCAGCATCCCCCTCCTTGACTTGCTGCTCACTACCAACACAGCTCTTGTGTGCTCTGGGCAGCTGCACAGGAGAGGACAGCCACCAGCTTTGTGACATGGTCCCCACCAGCACCGGGCTTCCCCGGGACTGAGCATCATTACCAGCTTGGCCACAACAGACGGGGAGAGCCCAGGCGAGAGGCAGAGCCCACGGGAGGCAAAGCGCTCTGCCTGGACACCAGCCCACAGGCAACGGCCTCCCTCGCTCCTCTGAGCCGAGCTGCCTGCACGGCTCCCACCGGGGCCAGCACCACGCGGGCTCAGCACTCTCCTAACACCTTCCGCTGGCCAGGACACCCAGCCTGACACTGAGCTCAGCAATGGGATTACGGCTTGCCTCCAAGATCCCCTATCTAATTAAGTATGTCCCATCTCTAATGTGATTACCATCCCATAAACTAGGCACAGGCAATGCACGTGCCACATTGCTGGGCATCAAGTGGGGTGAAGGCCTTGTCAAATGCTGGCACAGCTTCGCCTGTAGCCAGCAGAGCTGGGCTTCAGGCTCCCAGAGGGAGCTGAGACCCAGGCAGGTGGCCCCCACGAAACGCCCCTGGCCATGGGGCAAGTGGGTTTAATGGGAGATGCTGCCAGGACTTGGCAGCAAGGCCACAGCAAAGCAAGCGTCCCATGGCAGCCCTGTCCTGGCTCTGGACTCTGCCAAGAGGTGCTCCTGACTGCCCCAGAGGCCTCCAGGAGCTATGCAGGCTGGAGAGAGGGGGCTTCTGTGGTGAATGGAGAATTTGTCATCTGTCCTGAGAGCCCAGGTACTCCTTCAGGGCACAGGCCACCTGCAAACAGATTTGGAGCAGGTCATGGCAGGCAGGACCCATCTTCTTTTCAGAGGGGTGAGAATGGAGTAGCCAGGACTCCCCCACGAGACCCAGGAGCACCACAGCTGTTCTGGGACTGGATAGCAAAGTCCAGTCAATCCTGGGGGCAGAGCAGCGGAGTGCTGGCCCCCTCCCCACCCAATCCCCCTTAGCACCACTGGGCCAGGGCAAGGGGCTGAGCTCTCACCTGAAAGACATCTCCATTGACAGTGGCTCCTCCATTCTGGAAACCAGCTAGAGAAAAAGGAAGAGAGAAAGACAAACGTGACTATGGCAGCTGCAGGTGATCCCAGAGGGGCTGGTGTTCATGAAACTGAAGCAAATCAGTTTCTGGGAGTTTGGCTGTGCCATTTCCAGCCCAGCACACTCATCCACAACAGCCCCACATACATGGGCCAGGCCCCATGGTCTCCTGTCCTTGGTGGGATTCAGCCAGCACTTCTCTCTCTCCCAGACAAGCCTCTCCAGGCATTTATGTCTTTATGGTGTTTTCACTTGTGTTTTATCTTATCTGAACATTAGGGAAACCGTTCCAGGCACAGGGCTGGACACAGGCAGGCACTCTTACTGTAGAAAGACAACCTGACCAACCCCAACCTGAAAGCAGCCAGGCAGAGGCTGCCAATGGACACAGACAGCTGACCCAGAAGCTGTCGGCCGAGTGCCCAGCAGTGCAGGGCTGTGACGGGAAGACAACCTTGCCAGGGACAGAGCCCACAGAAACACTGCAGTGTGCTCCACCAGGAGAGGAGGGCAGGCGTGCATGCCAAGGTCCTTGAGAGCCCACCTGGGCATGCCCCTGGGACGAGCTGCAAGGTTAGGGCTGGGAATGAGGCACCACTGACACCCACAGCTGGGGTACAGCCCCAGAGAACACCAAGCCGCACGCCAGGGCCACAAGGCCAGCCTTGTGCGGGGCTCTCTGCTGCTAGGTAGGGAAAAGGCTTTGAAGGAGGTAGACTCCAGGCTCTGACAACCACAGGGCTTCTACTGGCCAGCTAGCTCCAGGCACGGGCAACCGCACAGCCACAGTGCAGCTCAGGCAAGCATCCCCACAGTGTTCGCCCCCACGGCACAGCTACGACTACACCCAGCTCCAGCCTGTCTGACTACATTTATCAACATGGCTGTCAACACCTCGCTGGGCCCAGGTCTGCCTCCATGGCCCTGTGTGCAGAGAGATGAAACCTCTGCTGGCTCCGCAGCCAGCACAAGGAGGCCCTGTGGGCCTGGGTTAGGGGAAGGAGTCAAGAGTACTGTGGGAGCAGTGTCCCTATGTCCATGCGGAGAGCAGACTCTGAGCCCCTGCTACCTACCAAAGCCCCAGCAGACTGGAGGCAAGAGATCAGGATTAGCACCTTCCACCTTGCAGGGCCTGGGACCACAATGTTCCCAATGGAAATACCTTCCATTTTGCACCCCAAAGGGCTCTCCTCTCTGTGGAGACAGTGACAAGGCTGTCACTGCTCCTCAGCTCCGCCTGGATGCCTCTCACATTGGCCTAGCTGGGGGCACTGAGACATGGAGACGGGGGTCCATCCAAGCCAGGGAACCCAGCTGGAGCACACGGGGGAGGAATCGCCCCACAGCTGGCAAGTCCCAGCTCAGGACTCACCCCACATCCCGAGGTTTGAGAGGGAACCCCAACATCAAGCCCTTTGGGACCAGGCACAGGCCCTTGCTGGGATGTAGGCCTGGTCCACTGGGGAACCCCATCGCCTGCCCGCGGGGGATGCAGCGTGGACCCCATCACCCACCGAGGGCGCAGTGCACCCCACGGGGAGCCCCGGCCCCCTTGGAGGGAGCCCCAGCCCCTTTGGAGGGAGCCCCTCCCTGCCCTCGGGGCAAGAGGGGGCACAGCCCTGCTTTAGACCCACGGGGTTGCAGCCCCCTCCGTGCCCACCGGGCGCGC